GGATACAAACTCACCAGATACCACTTTGACCTCTCCTGCACGCACCACCATGACAAAAGTCAAAGTCAAAGGCAAAGCTGCTGGGAAGAGAGGAAGATCAGGAAGATCAGCACAGCAACACTCTGCAAAAGAGTCAAAGAAACCAAAATTGATCACACTAAGAGCCTCCCAGTCAGAAGAGAGTGACAATGAAGAAGAGGAACCTGATGTACCACGTGATGACGATGAGAACAGTACAAGTGCGTTTGTGCCGGCCAGTCTGTGCTCACCCAAACCTGTGGTCCCAGAGGTGGAGGAGACCATGGAAGAGGTAAGGATATCATAATCACTAGTTGGTCTTACCTTCATAATAGCCAGTCACTCATGCTATTATCATAGGTCTTGCTTCAAACACTTCATCCAACATTTTTTTTTATTTTGTTGTTGATCTGTTTTTTGTGCATGGTTCTTCATTTCCAAATGCATCTTCTCCTGTATGGCTCCCCTCATTTCACTCTTAGCTTGACATTTTGACCCACATGCCTGATGTGTTGGGTATGTCCAAGAATGCACTGTGCCCTGATGCCTCATGTGAGCAAGTACAAAATGAAAGCGGCACTGTTGAACCCTGTGAGCATCAGCTGGACCTGCTTGTTGTAAGTTTCCTATTATGCATGTGCTCCTGTCAGATCCTTGTTCTTTTTTGTAGTAAATAACTGTTTTTTATTGCAATGTTTTATTGCAATGCTTCTCTTTTCTTCTTTTTTTTCCAGGATGTAATTGACTTCCTTTCGGAACATACAGAAAGTATGTCTTTTGTACTTTATTATATTACTTTTTGTGCGGAAAAATATACCATTTTAATACTTCACTGTTTTTAGCATCAGAGGATGAAGGCTACAACGAGGCTGCTCAAACCTTGTTGGCATTTGGAAATCTGGCTAATCTGTCCCAACCGACACAGAGTCAGGCATCTATGTCAGATCACACATCAAGTGAGAACTGCATTTCACAATTTTTTTTCAAATAGGTGAATTTAACACTGAAATCAATGTTTTTCTTTCAGAAATTGAAAGTCAATGCATTGATGTAGAGTCTTCTTTGCAACTGGAAGAATGCCCTCTGGCAGTTTCAGAACCATCAACAACTGAAGTCAGCCCAACAGTACAGCTACCATCATCTCATACTTCTGACATACAGACATTTACATCTAGTGGGGAACTGTGTAGCAAACAAGAGAAGTTGTCACCTCTCAGGAAGGGAAGGTTTTCTAAGATAAAACCTAAGCCTAACCTTGGTTCAAGGACTACAAAACTGCGCACACAGACTGTTGGTGGTGGTATAGAAACCAAACAGGTTGAATTTGAGACCACAATAACCAGTCTGCCCCAGTTTTCAGAGCAACTGGAACCCACTTGGGCTGTGTCTGAACCATCACATGCTGAAAGCAGACCAACAGACGATCCAACAATAGTGATGCCATCGTCCTGTATTTCTGATAAACAAGTGAGCTATGAAAAATGTGGCATACTGGAAACAGTCATGTCTCCAAAACTCACAACAACTCCAGAGAGCTTATCTTTGACTAAGGAGGAAACGGCAATAAAACAAAATGTCCTTTGTGATTTAAGGACCACAGAACAAATTGTTGAAGAAAGGGCACAGGTTTATGATGACATTACAAGAACCAGTCAGCTCAGGTCTTTAGAATGTCAGAAAGACTCTACTCAGCCTGTCTCAGAACAATCCAACACTAAAAATGTAACATTACTCAGCACACCGAATGAGATGCCGGAATCATACATTTCTGAAACACAAGTCATCAAACCCAGTGATGAACTTGATTCGCCGAGTTCTAAAAATCCTGCAATGCCAAGAAAAGGAAGACTTTTCAAGCTTAAACCTAAGCCAAACATTGAGTTTGCCTCAAGGGCTACAAAAATGTCTTCAAAGTCAAGTGTTACCAATAAGGAAAAATGGCAGATTGAGAGTGGATTTGCAGCAACAGTTAAGCTTCAGCCACCTGCACTTTCAATCTCAGAATCTGTGACAGTATCATGTGAAGACAGCCCCCAGGCATCATTGACATTTAAGAGCCAGGGGACAGAAAACTTTGAAACCAGTCATTCACAAGAACAAACAGAGCTTGGATCGCAAAGCAAATTTCAAACACATTTAGGCCACTTACAAGAGACATGTGGTACACCATCTGTCCAATGTGCAGAGAAACAACCAAACCAACTCAAACCTGTTAAGAGTACAACTGTAGAGCTTGGAAACATGCATTCAACCCATTCTTCAGAAGAGGATAAAACTGCAAACGCCAGGCCTGTTCAGCAGTCACAGCCAGCCTTGGAAAGCTCAAAACTTAGTACGCCTCAAAGAAGGCGATGGATTCCAAAGGTTAAACCCAATTTAGTGTTATCACCCCGAACTATAAAGTCAAAAGAGGAGTCTAAAGAAAAGAGCCATGCAACTGTAAAATCAAGTACTGTAGCTGCAACATCTAAACAACAAACCCTTCAGGACTCTTCAACTGTACCACATGAGTACAAATCAGAAAATGCTGAACCAACCTCATCAAGTGCAGTCGCTTCAAACTTGGGGATTTCAATGGGCACCATGGACACAACACAACAGGTTTCAAGTGAATTAAAAACAAATACCACAAATATCAAATCAGCTTCTATCTCTGAGCTGGAATGGTAAGAAAAACTTGAAATATAAGTCATATTAGCACTGACATTAGTGTTTAAACATTAGTGTCTCTACACTGTTCACAGTGCAACATTTGATTCCAGCAAAAGTGTGCAACAACCTCAGGATACCATTCTTAATAATACAGGTTAGAGCTATATTTTTTAGCTTTAGCTTTAGCTTTATTTAATTAAACCTTAGTAAACACTGTTTATATTTGTACAGGCATTTGTAAAAACAGCAAAGCCATTTGCAATATTCACCCGGAAACCTCTGAAATCTCCACTGGTCATCCAAGACCAGTAGATGGTGCTGTAGAACCTTCTAGTCTTCAACACAATAAGGCTGCAGCTGCCCAGCCTTCAGGCTCCAATAATCCGCAGGACAGTTCTATACAGGTAATGGAGATTTATTATTGACACTTTTAAGGCAATAATTTCACTGAATATTTTCTATTGATCTAGAGCAACTTCCAATACCAGAATCTATTTCCCAGCAGTAAGTAGCTCTGACTATTTACAGAATTAACATATTTCTTTACATATGTTTTATAACTTTTACCTTTATTACGTTGTCACTTAAGTGTTTCCAGATCACATCCCATCTGATCCAGATGAGCCATTTTTCATTCTCTCTCTGACTGAGATACCAGTCTGTCCAGTAGGGGAAGCCGTGGAGTCTGCACCCAAGTCTTGTCTTCCTCTACCAGTAATGGAGGCACAGGAAAGGCTAGTATTTGCTTTTATCTACTTACAGATAAGAATGCACAGTAAGGTTTCATTGTCTGTAACTGAAAACAAATTGTTGTCTAATTCTGTAGAAATCCTGTTGAGCCTGTGGTGCCACCTGCTCCAGGAATTGACATCTCTCTCTCTAACATTCACATTCCAACACCAGAAAAAGCAGCTCTTAGATCTGACCATATTTCTGTAGAAGAGTATTTGCCATCTGCACCCTCTTTTGTAAGTGAAAATAACACTAAAACTATTAACCCTCTTATAGAAAACCCTTTTATTCATTAAGGATTTTCTGTTACCAGGACATAAGCATACTGGAAGAGCATCAAGGTAAATTTTTGGGTTGTTTATTTTATGCAGTCTTATTTGTTGCTGAATTTATGTTTTAATTGTACTAACAGAAAAGCCTTCAGTTCGAAGACTAATTTTACCAGAGGCAGGGGACAATAGGAATAGTAATATAATGAATACTTCACCAACAGGGAGCCATATTGCCGTTGGAGGTAATCTTTTATTACATACACTTATTGTGCCACATTTACTTTGATCTTCCAACTAATCTGACTTTCTTTCTTAATGTTTAAAATTTCTTTCTTAATCCAGGTGCTGTTGATACGAAAACAAACAGTAGAAGACTGACGAGAAAGGCTGCTGCCAAGGAAGCAACCAAGCATACAGACATAACCCAGCATCTTGCACAAGTTGAAAGAAGTGTAGAGAAGATTCCACGTAATATTGAAAGTGCATCGCAGAAAGAAAGTGATGGCTCTTCAGTGACCAGTAAAATAAAGAGGAAGTCTGCTGAGAAAAGTGGGAATAAAGGGCAAAATAGGTGAGACAACATAAATATGTCTTATAGTAATGTTGAATTATATACAAATAAATATAATTAAATCTTTTTTGACATTTATATTGATAGTATATTTTCTCTGTTTAGGAAAAACTTTATATCAAATGAAGCTAAAATTGACAACTCACAACAGACAAAATCTGCAACAGTAAAATCACCTGAAGTACTTTCTCTGGACAGTTTGAAAGATTCCTTGTCATGCAGCACAGTCCCGGGGTCAACACAAGAGTCTAACCAACAAAGCAGTTTACATGGTACATATGAGGTGGGAATACTAAACATGCTCCGTGTTAACCTTTATTACTATAGATCACATTAACATGCATTATTGCTTCTGTTTTAGCTTTTTGTCTCCCAAAGTGACTCGATCGAGAGCAGTCTTTTAGAGGAAGAACCCACCAATGTGTCACAGTATTTCATCAGTGACGTCTTTACAGAAGTGGAAAGTGATGATTGTCTAGTCACTGCAAAATCAAATAATACTGGCACTGGGCAAACGGCAGAGACAACAAGAAATAAAAGGGAAAATAGGTGAGGATAATATATAGACAGATTTGTTTAATTTTGTAAATATCCCAAGTAAAATTTTAAGGACGGCACACGGATAAAAAGGATATAACAACATTATTGTGAAAAAGGTGGTCTTTATTAATTTCATTACATGAAGAAAATCAGGAGGTCCCAGCCATTCTGTCATTGAAGTTTGCTTTATTTGCGTCAGCGCATTTCAGTTTCAGTGAAAATTCCATCTATATTCTCTGTCATTGAAACAAGGTTGGATCTCAGCCAATCGGGCACTAAAAAGACACGTTTCAACTCATATAGGAGTCTTCATCAGGTGCATGACAGTATTTAAAAGTGTGGTCATGTGAGCAGTAATGTCATGTCACGAGAAAGATGCAGATTCGGCTTAATATATTAAGCTGTTACAAATTATACCATGTGCAACAATTTGCAAGCATCTTAGACATAGACTTCAAGGTGGTACAATCCAGTTCCTTAAAGTGCACACACGTAAATGAAAATATGCAATCATAAAATACAAAATATCAAGACAACATTTCATATAACTTATATTATCAAAATAGCTGAACCCCATTGAATCTGGACAGCACATACAGGCTCTATTTTGCTATTGGCTCAAGTAGAGGATTTATTAATTTTTTTTATAAAAGGTGAGAAGTCTATTTCCTCGTTTGGGCCAGGGAAACAACTGGCTTTGAGTTTGTGTATCCAAAAAGTTTCTTGCTGCAAGAGGATTCCCAGCCTGTCACCCCCTCTTTCAGTGGCTGGTATGTGTTCAATAACTCTGACTCTTAATGTGTTTGGGCATAGGGTAATCAGAATTTTTAGTCTGGATTGCGTACTTACGTTCAGCTAAACGATCTCTGTGCCTGCTGTTGGTTCTGCCAACAAAGAAAGAGTCACGCTCACATTCCAGGCAGCGTACTACATGTGTGGTATTGCAATTTGTGAAACTCATTCAGGTATATAACTTCTGAATAAAAACATCAGCAAAGATGTACGGTATGTTGGTACAGTGATTGCAAGTCCCACATTTGTACATTCCTTGTTTTTGGGAGAGCCAGGTTTTGGGGCTTTTTATGAAAAGGTTTTTTTATGTTTTCTATGGAAGGTAAAGCGTGGAGGGTCTTTCAAGAATGGTTACAGACTGAAATGTATACACTTTGTTTTTCAGAAAAACTGTCAATGAGCCACGTTGTCCACTGGAGGGATCACTTGAAGTTTTGGAAGAGCAACTCCCAGAAGTGTCAGTTACTAAAGAAGAAACTTCCTTAGTTAGTTCAGTTAAAATTCCATCTGCATTCTCTGTCATTGAAACCACATTGGATCTCAGCCAAGCAGGCACTAAAAAAACAAGAGGGAAAGCAAGTTCTAATAAGTAAGAAAACATAAGTACGATTAAATATTGACAATTGACTATTTTCATTGACCTTTAATTAATCATTTTTTGAACAGAAAAAACAAAGCCCCATGTGAAAGCTTAAAGTCACAAAGGAAATTTAAAGAGGCGTTAAAATCTCCTGAAGCGATTTTCATTGATACATTGGAAGAAACTGAGTCAACCAGCTCCATGGTACAACCTCAAGAACAGCGGAGGAGTCTGCGATGTGCCACAGAGGTCTGGTGCTTTGACTCTTACTATATGTATTTATAAGTATAATTTATAAGTGTTTATAGCACTACAGTGGCTGTAATATTCTATTCTCTTCTTTTTTAGTTTCCACTGTCTAAAAATGACTCAGATGTGATCAACTTATTGGATGAAGAACTCACCAGTGTGTCCCAATATCGAGTAGAGGATGCTTTCGCAGGGGTGGAAAGTGGCAATAGTTCAGTCACAGGGAAATCGAATAAAGAAAAAGCACCAGCTCAAACTTCAGAAACAAGAGGGAAAACCAGTCATAAAAGGTAAGGCTAATTATATGGACGAAATACTTTTGATTATTCGGTCACCATGATTTTTCAGTTTATCATTTGTATTTAGTGGTGATGTCATATTTTTTTGTTTTGTTTAGAAGAACAAAAACTTCAAATGGTCCCCCATGTGCGCAACATGACCCACTGACTGAAGGACAATCATCAGAAGCATCAGTTGCTAATGAAACTGAAAAAAATGTGAATCTAAACCAATCTCAAACAGAGAAGACTAAAGGAAAAGAGCAATACAATAGGTATGGATATTGTGAAAATGTTTTTACATAATTTCTATTGTTTTATTATCTTTTGAATTATGATAATTAAATAAGTAAAAAAAAGAATTAATTTAATATGTAATTGTATTCTATTTTTTCTATGTGTTTAGGAATAATAAAGCCACTTTTAAAGCCATGGGATCACAGCCTCAAATGCAACGTATAGCAGCACTAAAGTCCCCTCAAACTCCTCATACCAGATCTGCCATGGATCAGCCTCAGGTAATTGCACATGCTCTGGGTCTTTTGCTCTGGTTTCTATTCTACATTGTATTGTTCTTTATTTGTTCTAGCTTCCACTCCCCCATCAAAGTGACACAAAGGAGAGCTCTGATGATGAACCAACCAATGTGTCACAGTATTTCCTAAGTGACGTTTTTACAGAAGTGGATGAGGATTTAAGGTCGTAAGTTAGACACTGGATCAAGACCTACTTTTCCTGTTTTATTAAATTTTTGTTGTGTTGTAATTTATTATGATTTCATGTTTTACCTTCAAGTTTGTATAGTACTATGTACAGTATGCACAGTAGGCCTATAATTGGTCAGAAACATCAAGTTATTTCTCAAAGTGAATTTATAGCAAGAAATTGTTATATTTTATTAAAAAGGAAGTTGTAAATATTGCACAATATTTTCCCAATCCTAAACATTTAAATACCCTATACCCTATGTTTTAAGTAGACAGAATGCTAAACTTGCCTTTTCAGTCAACATTTTGGCAGCTTCTTGTAATTGCTAAAACATGTATTGTATTACTACATTCTTTAAGTTGAGGCTAATCTATATGTTAATAAATATTCACCTACAAATGGTTTCTTTGTTTTGTAAGACAACCAAATAAGTATGGCGTAAAATAAGTATGGTTTAAATTGTAACCTACAGTAACCTTGCATAGTATTCTTAGACACATGTGGTTAGCGGATTAAAATTACTTCATGAGACATGAGACATGTGACCATAAAGAGAGTTTGCTGTTCAGATTAGAACTAGAAGTTGAAATCTCATACGTCAGTACGTCTTGCCGTTTACTTTATACTTGTCTTGGTGGGAATGAACTAGACAGAAGAGGCTGGCTACAACTATGAATAACAATACACAGGTCAGTGTGGGGAAACCTCTGACATTTTATTTTTGAAATAATGTCAACAAACTAATCTGTGTAGATAACAGCTAGATAACAATCAACATTCATTGTTGCTAAGAAAACAATATTAAATACAAGAAATATTACCTTTAAAATGTGAATATAGCATTTAAGAAGTCTAATACCATAAAACCCATTGGTATGTAATGTTTTGTGCAACAGCCTAATCCTGTATACAAGGAAATCTTTGAACTAAAGACCAAAGTTGTTTATTTATTTACTTATTTTTTCTACAACTTAGCACCATATACACATATAACTAAATATGTAAATCTAAACTATGAATAACTGCATAGTTATACTACTAGGTGCAATTTTGTTCCGCAAGGCTGAAAAGGTGCTGGAGCAAATAGAGATGGAGGTGAGGATGAGGGATGGAGCCAGCAGACTGCTTGCAGCCTGTTCCCAGAGAGAACAGGCTCTAGAGGCGTCCAAAAACCTCGTGAGCTGCAACAGCCGCATACTAGCCCTGCTCAGCCAGCTGCAGAAGATGCGGAGAGACCAGGTCCTGCAACGCACAAGACATGGCGGCAGGTCAGGGCAAGGGCACTTCAGGCCATACCTCACATAGACCCTAGGGGGCAGACTTTTTCTGCTTCTTTATAGACTAATCACATGACATGCCGTGTTCGCTTACATATTTATTAACTAAAAATAATAGTATACATTATTTATTTCCTACAGCTTATCTGATGATCTAATTCCGTGTTTTGGAAAGCTAGCCATATCTGGTGAGTGCAGTTTACCACACAAAATTTACCTGCTAAATAAGTATGTAAATAAGTCTTACTTTACCTTAACTTTATAGCCTATTTTTTCTTACTCAGATCTGCGAATTCCTCTGATGTGGAAAGACTCGGAATACTTTAAAAACAAGGGAGGTGAGTTATTGCGCTGTTTTCTGTGGTACAAATGTGTTGAATTTCTCAGCTCTGATTGCCCACGTGGGTTAGGAGCACCTGGGCTCCTCAAAGCCTGTGCTACTGATGGTCAGCCATTCTGATTATATAAGGTTGGGCTATTTCTTTATTTGTTTGCTTGTTTTGCCACAGAACTGCATCGCTGTGCCTTCTTCTGTCTGCTTCAGTGTGACTCTCAGATCTTGACTACTGACCTGCAGATAGTAGACAGAACCTTGACTGATATCTGCTTTGAAGACACATTTACTTTGTGAATACAGAATTTACTCATTGTATTAATTGCAATGTTGATTAAGGTAAATAATTAACCAGCCTATGTCTTTTTTGTATTGACTGTACAGTGATGAGGCTGGCCCTGGCTTCATGCTGAGATTAGAGTTGTACAGCAGTTGTCTGGCTGAGGAGGGCTCTCTGGGCACCAGGCGAGGCAGTCTTGGAGTCACAGCAATGGGAAATTTTTCAGGAAAGAAGCTTCGTGCTGCTCTTGAGTCTGCTGCTGTTTGTGGATCCAACCCTAATGGAAAAACATCAACAGTGATCTCAGACCCCTCAACACTGTGAGCATGACTTCTGATTTATGTTTTGATCACTGTTTTGTATTGTCATTTTAGCCAATCTGAGTTATTGTTTACAAAGGGAACCCAAGTTCAGCTTGTTGGCCCATGTTACTCTGAAACTCAAAAATGTTCACGATGGTTTCAAGACACATGACTTGTCTCTCGTAGCAACTGGTGAGGAACATCTTTTAATTTTTTTGTTTTTTTGTTTATTGGTTATCTTAAAATTATTATTTTTTTGCTTCATAATCATCTCAAGCCAATTTAACTATAATTTTCCAGAGGAGAGCTCTTTCTGGTTGCCTCTGTATGGTAACATCTGCTGTCGCTTAGTGGCTCAGCCTCAGTGCATGTTGACACCAACTTTATGTGGCCAACTGAAGGTTAAGGTAAAAGCTTTTTCACATCTGTGTTTTTTGCATTCTCATTCTTCTACTGATGTTGGTGCATGCTCTCAATGTGCTTCAGACGAGCAATGACGGTTGGGAAAATGTCTATGGTGTCCTCCAGGGGAGTAGTCTTGTCTGCTATCACAGTGAAGAGCAGAAATCTGGCCCATTACTTGTAATCCCTATTAGGAAGGTGATCTTATGCATATTTAAGAGATATCAGTTAACAGCAAGAGCACTTGTGTGTCTGAATACCTAAACATGTCACAAAAAGTTCTATCTTCTATACTTCATCATAATAACAATAATAATAGCTTGTACTCTTGGCAGGATACTTTCATTTGTATACCAGAGCAGAATCTTGGCTCTCCACAGAGCTTAATGATCAGCATAAAAACAGACAGAGAAGATGAAGTCTACACAGTCGCAGCTGATGACACACAACGCTGGGCTAAAGCTCTCAGGCAACACCTCCACAGCATGGGTAACAGCCTAAATTCACCTTGATCAAACTGCAGAAAGTTCTTGCTTGTTGTGGCTAGTACATGTATTATTTTCACATCAAATTAAATTAAGTGTTACTTTTGATGGCAAGCCAAAATATAGACAAATTGCATTTGAACTAATTAAAAAGTCCCAGTGTACAGAATGTGGATGTAATAAAACATGACAAAGATGTCACACATACTGTCAGCTTGAACTTCTACTAACCATATTATTATCATTCATTTTTCTTTCTGTGTTTTGATAATTACCTTGGAGTCGCAAGACAGGATTTTTTGGAACCTGCATTACTTGTCTATTGAAGTGCTTGAACCAAGCAAATTATGTTTACACCTTATAAATAGAATAAGTATTGCAAAACACACCAGCTAAATGCATGCAACATTTTGAACCTGAACAAAAAGCATTTTATATATATATTTTTTTTATATTTTAAGTTCCACTGGTCAAGTATGTTACCTCTAGTATCAATACTGTATTTTCTGTGCATTCCAGTGTGATTAGTTGACATGGAAGAGCAGATGCCTTACAGGTATTCTTTGTCACCTATATACAGAAGCATAATATCAATAAATTTGAAAATTTAAACCAGTTAAAATGAAATACCCCACTATCTGACAGATACATTGGCTGACTAACAGTCAATTAAATGCAGACTGAAAGAAGTAAAGCCACAAAAACAAAGTAAAAGAACAAATTATATAAATTAAAATCAAGATAATAAGCACAAAGGCTATTGGACACACTGACAAGGAGGAAAAATCACAGATGTATTTCATTTGACAGTGTTTGAATTTTCATATTTATTGATTCTAGGTTTGTGCATATAGGTGACAAACAATACCTTTCCTGTCAACTAATCACACTGGAATGCACTGAAAATACAATATTGATGCTAGAGGCAACATACTAAGGCTGACGTGTGATAATAATGTTGTAAAGAACTGTAATCATCAAGTTCAAACTACATCAATATACCTATGTATCTAATAAGTAATATGGACAAAACTTCATTTGATAGTTTAGAGTTCATGCACTGAGTTAAGACATTTATTGTTTGTTTTAAATGAGGCAGCATACACAAGCACTGATTTGACATACATGTACAGAAATATTTCTCAAACATGACACATTGTGCTACTTCGACTTTAGCATTACAGATTAGGAGATACTGCACATGTTCTAGTCAGTCTAGTTGGTCAACATCACTTAAGCCAATAGATATGAAGCTATTGTTACAGTAGTGTGATGTCAGTCCGATTTTAGTCTCTTATCCTCCATTCATCAGTAGAAATAAATAAATGCTTTTTTTTGTCATTGTCATGAACACTGCCTACATCTTACATTACAATGAGTCTGTCTGTTTAGACAGACTGTAGAAGAGGATCCAAGGCAACATTATTCACTATTATTGTAGTCTTACACACACAAATATATTGTATATATTATGATTATGTCTGTACTTTGGCAGGTCAGTGGCAGCAGTGTTGTACTGAACTTATGAAACTCAGCGTGTCTTTTGCACCAAAATCTGCAGCAGTTCAGCAAGGGTCACTATTTCATGAAATAGGTAAGGAGAATTTTACTTGCATTGCCAGAATATTTGAAAGCAATAATTAAGGTTCTAACAGAATTACTTGCATACAAGATTAGTGGAAATTAATTTTAACCAGTATTCATCGCATTTTTGCAGCAGCCACAAATCATCACCTTATAAAATGCAAAATGCCTAACAAATGTTTCTTGAAAAGTAATTATTGAAGCTAATTGTGAGATTTAAATGCACTGCATGTTTGTACTGGTCTAGTTCAATCCCAATCCCAATTCAGTCTTGTGATAGTATTTATAGTTTCCTTCTTAGACTTTTAAAAGTTAAAAACCTCAAGGTGCACCATGTAATATTTCTGGTGAAGGTTTCACCTGCTTGTGTCCAGTGTACTGTGTGGCCGATCCAGCAACACATTTTGGTCACTTTGCCTAGTATGAATGCATGATGGTGGTGGTTAGTTGCCAATGGCACAGATTAGCAGCCTCAGTTCTGTCTGTCTACCCCTATGCAGCTAAGATTGATCTTACCACTGCCAAGTGTGGAGTGAGTAAATAATGCATTGTAAGCTGTTTGAGAGGCGCTATATATGAAAACCACCTAGAATATAAAATGATAAGAGTATTTGAAAGTGCTGCAGAGATTTGTTTTCTTGCAGATGAGATAATGGTCACCAGACGTGATGGTATTGAGGGTATTAATGTGATGGTATAAATGAGTATAGGAAGAAACACAGACATCTCATGTTGTTTTTGTCTTTGTCCAGTGACCCCATTAACACCCAAAGAAGGGCCTGCGGCATCAGATCTGTCAGCGGATTTGCACAATTTGCTTGCATCCTATTACAAAAAAAGGTAAAAAGCCCAAACATGTAATTGCTTTTATTTGACAAAAACGTATCAATTCAACACAACATGTATACTTTTGAGTAGGTGCACACAAATAAGAAATTTATCACACCTTTCAGTGATGTGATCTCATGGTGTACGCCATACGTATTGGTTTATTGCATAATGAACAATGGATGACCTTACAAATTGTGGATTTATATATCTGTTCTGACATGACTTGGCAGGGGGCATTAGAGTTGTAAAGAAGATTGATATCTTAGGAAATATACATAGTCAGCCTACACAAATAGCTTCTATGCAGCTGAGACATTTTAAATATTTGGCTTGTTAGAATGACAAACACTCATAAAACACTCCAGACATTTGTAAAATATCTTACACACACAGTGGTTTACACAGACAGCATCCTGTTCAACAGGTTTATCATGAGATACTGATAATAAGATGTGTGCTTCACTTATGACAATGTGGGTTTTGTCTCATAATAAATGAGTCACGCCAGCTTTGTTTTTCTTGAGATCTACCACGTACATCACTGATATCATTCCTCAAGTATTTATTAATAGCCTAATTTTCCGTAAGCCAGAAAACTAATTTCTCTCACACGCTATATGTTTGTTTATTTGGATATTAGTATAAACTGCCAAATCATTGGAATATGTGTACAGTTTAGGGGGATTATGCATTCTCCAGTGTTTATTTATCTGTTAATCTTTATTTAAACATTGCATGTTTATGGCAAGAGAAATGATTATGCAAATGTTTTGCTGAATGTATTTTCCTTCTGCTTCTAGTAAATATTGCAAGACACTGTCCTTAATGTCTGTATTCCTGCTATTGTTAACCTGTTCTAAAAAGTACAGTCAAGTTACATCCTCATACCAGTTTTTCTCTGATAAAAAATTGGCGCTCAACGCTCCACCTGAGGTTTGAAATATTTTAACTGTCAGGAAGGTGTGAGGCCTGCTATTATATAATAAATAAATTAGCAGTTATTTGCACATATTGAATACATTTTTGTCTGTGTGTTTTCAGCTGTTAAGAAGCATACACAATCGTTGATTGTGAAGTGAAGTTTCAACTCTTCCCCAGCACTAACTACAGGTCTGAGATGATAACGATATGAAGCTCACAAAATCAGATGTACTATTAAACTCTTAAACTCTTAAATGAATGTACTAATAATAAAGTTTGTTTAGACATTATTATGATAATTCATGTCCATATATTAATATGAATATGAATTAAAAACATACTTCTGAACTAAACAAACACAGCAAAATATTTCATGGAGCTAAATGTATAACTAACTTTAATAGATCTATGAAGCTTTATATTATAGAAAGGATTTGTCCCCAATGGTAATGTGGATGTCTTTTTGTTCATCAGTCTCAAATAGAAATGTTAAACTTTCATGTTCAGTTCATATTTTGCTAATCATTTCTTTTTGCAAAGTAGTCTAACATGCTCTTTAAATTTAGAAAGGATTATCGATTTGCATGTCATCATTAAATCACTGTCATGGGTGTGTCAATGCCAGTGGCCAATGCCACACCTAGATTCCTGGCAACGTGCTTAAATATGGGAATAAAAACAACATAATACTAACAAAAGACTGTAATTATGTGTCAAAGAGGATAATACATTCTTTCAAGGGCAGACTAAGGACAGGGGAAAAAAAGGTTCACTGTCCTGGCTGTCTCTCAAGTATCTTCTTTAAGTTGTTTGAGGTCATCTTACTGACCCAGTTGTGAGTGTCACAGAATATCAGTATTGTTTTGTTTAACTCTTGAAGAAGGCATGTGTGCCGGTATCATGAGAAGTATGTACCTTATTACAAGAGATACAATCCCTTCCATGTGTGAGATTTAGGATTTTCTGTAAAAGTCAGCGATTCTGTTTGAAATAATCAACAAAATGGTGACACTTGCATTTTTATTTAGAATATAAACATTTATAAAACAGTTATATACAGATATAATGTAATCAGTGTAGTTGATTGGAGTTGTGGTGTCATTAAGAGTTGGAGATAATTTTCTTGAGTTTCATCACTTCTTCAGGGGTCAGTTGCAGCACAGAGACTGGTTTCTGTGTTAGACCCTTTGCCTCAGGTTGTTGCTGCTGCCTGTGATCTTTAGTTACATAAGGCTTAGAGGCTCTGAGGTCCTGTGGCGCTGTGGGTGGATTGATGGTAACGTTAGCTTGCTTAGGGAGTGTAGGTCCACTTCTGCTTGTCATATCCCAGCCCTCTATAGGCATACTTTTAATGTTGTACGACTTGTTCACATCATTGAATAGATAGACATCTCGGCTTACTGCGTTTCTCAGCATACCAAATGTGGGCTTGTGATTGTTGCAGTGATACTGGCTTGGAGATCTCTGACTTGGCATGTGTCGTAAATTTTCCTCATCTAACTTGCTCTGCTTTATCTCAAAGGTCAAGTTTGCTGGCGTCGTCTCCATTGCTGTGCTTTTTACAGTACTGTCTTCCTGAATTAACAGCTGTCTTGAACCATGCAAAGTGGCTTGGGGACCATACTTCTGAAGCCAGTTATTAAATACCGAAAGAGGTATTTCGATTTCCATTCTTCCTCCATTTTCTCCAGTTGAAGATATTAACTCATTTATACACCTGACTTCAGGGCTGTGCTGTCTCTCACTTGGTTCCTCCTTGCTTTGCTCGGCATCAGTGCTAGCAACTGGAGATTTTGGAGATGGAGAGTCTTTTAAACTGAATGACGAGACATCAGCCGTAGCTCCCACACCATTCTTGGCATCACTTTTCACATTTGTATTCAGAGATGTGTATAAAGGGGAGGGTTTATTTAAAAACTTTGGGTTCTTAATGGATGATGGTGGTGCAAAGGAAGATGCAGGATTTGTGGTAATGTCCTGGTTTAAAGATTTCACACTCAAGTTGAGAGGTTCTGACAGGCCTGCTGAATTCTCATACTGCTTGGCCAGGTAACGGAGATGCTCCAGTGGGTCTTTAGGTTGGTCCGAGCAGTTAGGTGGCCGAGATGGGCATTCTGTGGGGCTGGGTAAGGCAGGAGTACAGGATAAGTATGGCGGTGGGGGTGGTACAGGCAGCCGTGGGGAAGGCAACAGTGATTGGGGAAGTGGAGGATAGGTGTAAGCAGGGTAGAAGAATTTGGGATAGGAGGAGCTTAAAGTAAACAAGCCTGAGTGATGCTCGGACAAAACTTCTGAGGGATTCTGAAGAAAAACAAACAAACAAAAAAATCATACTATTTGGTTGACAATTTAACACTATGTGATAAAAATAATATTAAAAAAGAATAAGAAAAGGGAAGGGCAGAGACTGTTTACTATTTTGTCTTATACTTTTTGTTTTCTAAAAAATTAAAATAAAAAATAAAAAAGTAAAAAATATTGACTTATAGTGAACTGTATTACTGTAGAATTGTTATGCATAGCTAATTATTAACTGGTATGGTAACTTTTACATTCTGCTCTTTTAAAATTTAATTGCAGAGGTAATAGCAGTAAATAATATGTTATAAGACAATAAATTGCAGTGTAAATAAATAATAAGTAAATGGGTGTGTCACTAGATCAAAGAATGAAAGCATGAAAAAATAACAAAGTAAAGGAGTTATGTAAATATGTACCTGTAAAGGAAAGAGCATTGATCTGCGTTTGGCTGGCAGTGGCCCGTCCTCTTCGTTTTTTCTATAGCCCACATAATGATAATGCCTTGGCTGCTGTACTGCATTAAGACGCAGGCCTTTGATGTGACACTCATATGGCAACAGTAATCTGGAGATCAGAATTGTATATTGAAGGTGTTAAGAAAACATTTTGTGTGGGCGTATCTAGTATAGATAAACAGAGCCTTATTGCTGCACTCACTTCTCATAGTGGCGTCGGGTGCATGTGGCTGCACTTGTGCTGCGAGGATTTCCTCCCAGAGTATTGTAGACCTGCTTCCAGAGCTGCTGAGCGGTCACCTAAAGATGTACAGTCTCTTTTATACTGCTTTAATTACTACAGTGACCACTAAAACTACTACTACCACAAATAAAAATAGTAAAAAAAACAAATGAAGCTTACCTGGTGATAGCCCCCCAGCTCTTTAACTGTCTTGAACATCAGGTACAAATCAACTGTTAAAGACAAATAAAAAATACTTATATTAACATCAGTTTTGTAAAGCGCATACATAAGAATAATATAAACATTACATTCTTTGGGACTAATTATTTGTTGAAAATGCATGCAATGCTGAAAGAAACCTCAGCTCTAAAATGTAGTTGTGAGGAAAACTCTGCAATAGGTAATAGCATGTACAATTTCAATTAGCTTTTGATCTGTTTCCTCAAAAAGGTGTAGGGTCTTGTAAAATCTATGTTTACTACTTTTCCAACTTTAAAGAAATATAAACTCTTAGTACAGTGTTTTATGTGTCTTGTAAGTGTAAGTACTTTGTTTGAAGCCCAGGTGTGGGATCCTCTCTATTGGTGTGTCTCGTTTCTTCATAAAAAGGTACACATCTTTAAGAAATTGTTCTTCTGTAATGTCTTCACTTGGTCTGCTTCCTCTCGCCTCTTGGATCTCTTTGTGTGCCATCTTTGTTTGCCTCTAGGAACAATAATAACACCTGTATTAGACAAAAAGTACACAAGTGGCCATTCATCAGTTTGGTAATCTACTTTGACGAGTAACAAATGGACCTGTATGAAATGATCACATATTTGCACTATGTGTAGAGGTGAGTCCTGGGGCTAGCACAATGCCCCATTCATTTTGTTTGCTCGTTTTTTTTTATGAATTAAAGGTCAAGACCAGCATTTAAGTCAACATATGTGATGAATGAAATGAATCCCAGCGTTTGTATTTATAATTAAACAATTAATTTAGAAGATGGCAATTCAATGTGCGTTACATAAATATATCCTTACACTTTCACACACAATCAAAAATGTCAAATCTCAACATATTCATGGTATTATTTCCACATTAATTCAAAGCATTGAATGTAGAGGCGGTGTAAGAGGGACATGCCTGTCTGTATTTAAACCAACAATATGATTCTTAAATGTTAATTTCACCAAACACCACATCTTCAAACCTTAAAACTTTTGTGGCACTTGATGCCTAATGAAATGACGTATTAATTAAACCTCAACATTTAAAACTGTTATAATTATTTTGTATTAAGTATCAAAAAAACAAACAAAAAAAAAAAAAAAAAATTCTACCTTGTCTCTTAATTGCATATTCATCTTTCATACGGAGGTATTCTTACCTGGATGTCCATCAGGTAGAATCTAGTCTCATATTATTGGAGCTGTGATGTGTGGAGGTGCTGTTTGGCTCAGTGCGGCTGCTGTCCTTCTGGCATGTCTATAGTAGTGCTTCTGTCTTCACTGTTTGTTTGGCAACATGGGGAAATGAACGAGGGGGTGTTTACTTGTAACGTCTTCCTGCTGAGATTTGTATCGACAGACCAGTTTGACCTGCTTAGTCTGGCATTCACACGCTGCACATCACACTTGAATGAGGAACTTGTGACAAAAAATGACAATAAAATTACTGTGTATTGCATTATGTTTTACTTATTTATGCTTTAATATTAATATAAGCATCTCATAGAAGAACATAGACTAGTTACTTTCATGCTATGAGTCAAAGAAATACTATTGGTATATTGACCTATCCTCATAAAAACATGTAAAACGTGCAGACAGGTGAGGCTGGCAAATTTAATTTTGTTGTCATACTAATCACAGTAATTGGATCCTGGCTTATCTGGCTTTGTCCTTGCCATTTCATTGTATTAGGCGTGGTTTATCAAATTTGTGAATTGACAGAGTGGATATATCAATAATAGAAGCAATGCTCTGATGTGCTTTACAGTCACAAAGCTACATATTCACAGTCAAAGTTACTTTAAGCAAGAGGAGCAAAAGCAGTGAACTCAATACTGTATCTACAACTGTCTCAAACCTCCTCACTCCTATAAGATGTGGAACAGTTCAACAAATACAGGTACTGAGTGTTCTGCAATACTCAAAGATATGCATATAGGTGAAGTGACGTGAACTTAAACTGCAATTTATTATTTTTCCTTTCCTACTTACCTTATGCATGTGAAAGGCCCTTAAAGGTACATATATCTTTGTTCAGAGATGTTTTGCTTTGCCTGAAATGTTCCACAGAATGGCATTAAACTTATCTATATTTATAGAATCTTAGATAATGCCACCTGGCCAAATTACTGGTCAGCTCTACAATGAGGTGAAGTATCTCAGGGATGAATGTCTTCAACACCTGTACTTAATAAATAAAAGCAAGTCAGGTAAGTTTAATTTCACACTGTCGAACATTCCAGGAAAAGCAATAACTTATTCATAGTGCACATTACAGTACCATACTTGCAGCCTGTTCTTAGTGATGGTATTTTTTTGCCTTTGACATGAATGGAATGGGATAATGATAGAAAGGAGTAAATGAGAGGTGATATCTCCCATGATGTGGAAATTACAGGTATGCAAATCAGCTCCACAAAAATGACATGAATACTTATCCACTGTGAATTTTGAGAGCATAGAAATGGAACCCAAATGAAAAGACTTACTGTTGAAATAAATAGCTTGGATGCTCTATAAGAAAACAGTTTGATATTTGAATCAGTGTTGGTATTTGGGGACTAAGCCTGTCCTGTCACTGTCCCACTCTCAGGAACTCACTCCTCCCACAACCCCTTATTATTTAGGTGTTCTATGTCTTTCAGAAGGCACAGTTCAGCATGCAGTCTGTCTGGAACTATTTTATCTTAAAAACTCAAATTTGCTGATATTTAATAGATATGTGCTTCATCCAGATAATTAGCACTTTTTGAACAATGATGACTTAACCTGGAAATGACTGCTGTTTTGTTGTTTTATTCATTTTTTTGATGTTACCTGTTTTCGTGACCTGAGTACAGCAGGCTATTCTGTAGTACATTTCCTGTTGCATTGAAAAAAACTGGTTTGAGATCTATAGGTGTTAATCCACAAAACTGTCATTGTCATATTTCAGAGCCAATTAAAGACAGGTTGTCAGTTTGAGTTTGCGGTCACGGCTCAAAAGGGGCCTAGTGAAAATAACTGAATAACAACTACCAATAGCAGCAGCTAATCTGGCACACCACAAGAATGAAGATATTAATTACATGTGTAATTTTCAGCTCCCGCCAAAGAGTCTCTGCTTAATTGTTCCATTACACTTAGAGTTTCATAATATGCATTTACAAATAAGAACATTCATTTAGTCTCCATTACGTCATCTATTCAAAATGATTAATAAAGAATGTGATGATAATGTTTTTCAACATGTAAACCTTTTTTTTTTTTTTTTAAACCAAATGGCTGAAAGTGTGTAAGGACTTTGAAATAATAACATTTTGTTTTAATTATAATTTTTTATTTATACAACACATATTTTACTTAAATAAAATATTATGAAAAAAGCACAGCAATGCTCAAAAAGAGTAAGCAGAAACAAAAGGCTTATTTGAGCTTCTTTCAGTTTCAACATTTGCAGGATCAGCTGTTTGTTTGACATACATCTACATTCAATACCCATACCCACATACACCCTCACTCAGGTCCATAGAAACTTAGTTTATGTGTGTGCCTGTTTATGAGTGAAACTGGTCTGGAACAGATATGATGACGTTTATATATTTTTTCTTTCCAACGTTATATTCACTGAAGTGAGGTGTGAAAAGGTCCATAATATACATACAGTAGCAAAACTGTATTAATAAATACATTATAATACTTTCATTACCAAAACATAGCATTAAATTCTGATGGCAAACCTAGTTGAATTAGTGATTTAGCTTATAATACTACTTCGCTCTATAGCTTATCAACTTAATCTATAGGCATATAGCACCCAAACCCAGGCTCATATATCAAACCAGGCAAGAAATGGTCCGTTACACCCCAGTCTGTGCATAATACAGGAATAGTTTCTGTTTATACCTATGTTTAAAATGCTCAAGGATGTGCTACTTTTAATTTCCTAGTCAAGTCTATTACATAGGCCAGCTCCATGCCTTTGAAGATTAATTTTACCACATTGTTTATATTTAACTTCTTTATTTTTGAGCTTTTAACCATAAAATAATGGCGTTCCCTTGGCTCATCATAAGCTTATTCAAAGTTATACTTCGGCTGATTCATGCATATTTCAGTAATCCTGTATTATATTGCATTTGAAGCTCAAGTGCTCAGAAAATCTTTGTTTTCAACTACCTCCTATATCTCCCCACTGTATTTACTTAATTTAATTAATTTATGAAATCACTACAGGTCATGCATGGAGGGATAAAAACTTTCTGTTCTCAGTTCTGTGCTTTTGAAAAAACAAAGGACCTACAGGCCAGTTTTTTATTACGCTGTTCTAGATCATTATTGTGGTTTATACATAACAAAATGTAAATGATTCATCCACATATGAATTGTATTATAGAATTATATTTTAATACTTAATATGTCTATTATGTCTTAAAATTATAGCCTATGGAGATTCAGGTTTCCAAAGAACTGCCCATTGGACTGACTGTAAATTACCTGTCATTATATTAGGATTTATATTCCATTGTGTCATCACTGTTTGTTTTTTCTAGAGGATGGCACATGTCAAAGCAGCTCTGTGATTCAGAAATACAGGCATGCACATTCTATTTGACTACCTGCAGAATAGCGCTAGGTGCAGTTGGGTATTCATAATGTTATCAGATCAGATCAGATCAGATCAACGGCTGCACCTTTCAAATGTTCACAAATATACTGGTGTCTCTTTTGCACAGTTTAAAATTGGTATTGCACAAAAGGATTCAGTGATGCTAGTCTATCCAAACAAACAATATGTGTGCATAAAGGTGACTCAGCTCCTCCCATGGAAAATAAAAACAAAAATGACAACTGCTTGTGACACTGGGTGAGTCAAACTGTTAATTAGATATTGTGAGAGGCATTCAGGTAGTATTTGTCATCACTAACCATTTATTATTCAGACCTTTTGTCCCTTTGTATACAAAATTTGTGTGGATTTTATGTCCCGACCAGGCACAACAGGCTGGCAATTATATGGTCATTCTAAAACATAATTATTATTTATTTATTTATTCATTATTTTGGTACGTATTTGTTTTTGTTTTTTTTTTTTTTTTTTTTGTTTTTTACTGTTGGTCTTATGTCACCAGCCCCAGTAACCAGTTGGTCAATGGTATAATTATTGGGTGTGCCAATGTCTGACATTTATTATAATCCCATAAACTTGTTTTTCTCGTTGTGTTGTCCTAAACCTTTGATTATAGGATTTGCTGAGAGATGTGTTTTAGATTGATAAAAAATTGATATGAAATAATGTAATTGTGTGAGTTAACCACACAGTGGCGTTGTGGCACAAGTGTGCATTTTACTGTAAGATCACACAAAATTCAAGTTGTTAATTTGAAATTGCCTTGCATCATCAAAGTTATTTTACATTTGCACAGAGTAAAGCACAAAGTACATATATGACTAATAAGCAGCTTGGTTATCTGTCAAGGTTAGCTGTGTTATCATCTAGTTTGGAGCCATTAACAAGGACATGATTCTTAAACTGTAGACACCAGACTGAATGAGACTGACATCATCTGTTGATGGTGCTCAGGTAGTGGGGAAAGATGAGATCCTTCATGTTATAAGGTGGGGAGGGTTCACGGTTCACTCGGAAGAAAATGGCACACTGCCTTGGTCACACATTGGTTAGGAGTACAGTGATTAGAATGTTGAAAATATCCTGTAAACATCATCACTTCTGTATATTCCTATTTTCTTAGTTCACGTTCACATGTATTCGGCACATCCTGCTGGATTGGAATCTCTCTGTGGCAGAAATTGGTTGGTTGGATGAAAAGAATCACAAATATATTTTTTTCTTTCTAACCTTCAAGGGGAGTAGTGCTCTGATGTAGCATTCACGCCTTGATCATGTCAGGCATGCAGATATCTAATTATACCTGCTTATTTTCCACTCTGCTGTGTATATTAGAGGGGACAGCTTTATTATATGGCCAGAGAAGAAATAAGCACAAGTTAGCAGGGAGCCTTTGTAATACTGCATCTCTATTTACTTGGATTGACTATAGTGTGTCTTTCCTTCAATTACAGAATGTTTTGGGTAATTCTACCCCCTGCTAGGGTTGTTGTGAAACTTCATTGCTGTGCTTATCCTTGTACCATCTCACTTGCCATTCTTATGGCAAACATGTCTGTAAGCTAAATATTACTTTATGTTAGATAACATCCACAGTTTCAAGACTAATGTTTCTGCTGTTAAAAAGGGACGAAGTAAAGTTTGAACATTATTCATTT